CATAACTCCTTATGCAGAAACTAATGAGCATAATGATGAAATTTAATTGAAAAATTGAAAAGTTTGGAACAATCGCAGTTTCATTTGTTAAACAGATATTGAGCATTTGTGACAAACTGGATACTCTGTTGGGGCTGAATAACCAGATATTCTTACCAGTTCTTAAAATTCTTGTCAATTCTTAAAATTGGTAAGACTTTTAAATAAATTGGTTCTGCTATAAATTCACATTTAAGAATTTAGATAATTGGCAATAATTAGGATGCAAAAGCACTAAAAAAATACCAAAGTATCTGTAGCCTGTCTATGCAGGATTTACCAGAAAGCTGAGAAACAGAAGTAGTTTTGTGGAATAACAATAGTAACTGCCTAATAAAGACGTTCTGCTTTTTAAGGAAGTTTCTGTTGTAATTTTAGTCGTAATTCTAATTGATGATAACAGACATAAAACAATACTGTGATCACGTAAGTGATTAAATACTAAATTTTGTGCAACGAACTAAGTACTTGAGAATTGTGATAAAGGAGCCAGCTCAGGAAACGGTAGTTGGGAAAATGCTTGCTGGAGGTGGCGGGACTTGAACTGATGGGTAATACTCCTGGGAACAGGGGCAGAGGAGACTCTCCCAACCAAGGGGGCGACTTAATGAAGCCAGGAAGAGAGGACGTCTGCCTGCACCAGACTCAACACACCTGGTTGGGGGCGAGGACGGGTGGGATGGTAGAACAAGGTGGAGTGGTGGGACATGGCCCTCGACCCCTTAACTCCTTCCCAGGTTCCTCAGCCGTAAAACATGGATGGTATTAGTGCCGACTCTGAGGGGCGGACTGTGAGATTAAACGAGATGGTAAGTGTGAACGTCCTGGTGCATAGAAAGTGTTCAGCGGACAGAAGTTGCTGTTGCTGTTGGGGAGACGGATGGGGCCCAGCCACGAAGGGCAGGACTGCTTGGGAGTTGTCCTATTCTGATGTGATGGAAATTAGGAAGCCACTGAGACATTTGCCCCCAGGTAGGATGTGACAGGGATAAATTAATAATGGTAGCTCCCGTTAGAGTGCTGATGCGTGCTCTGTGCTTTATATCCATTACCTGCGGGCCTTTCCGTGACCCTGCAGTGGAGCTAGGGGACTTTGTTCTCTGCGGCTCTGGGAGAGGTGACAAGCACCTTGGCCAAGGCCACCTAGCTACCAAGAGGGAAGGCGAGGTTTGAACCCAGGCTTGCCTGGTTCCAAAGTCTGGGCTCTCTCCTCCTACCAGACTGCCTTGACCTGGGAAGCCATCTGTCAGGGGGCTGACGACCCCACGGGGAAGGAGTGGCTGGCTCAGGTCGTTGTTACAGCTACTGAAAGGGGGGTGGGTTCAGGATTCCCAGTGGCACACCCCCACCCCACCTCCTAGGAAAATAGGAGGAGGAGGAAGAGGAAAGAAGACAGCGGCACAGCAATGGAAAAAGAGACAGGACTCGGTGATTGGCTGTAAGAGGAAAGAGGACGAGATGAGCTGGAGGTGACGGTGCTGTTAGAAATGAAGGCAGGCACTGGTGGAACCACCTTTCCCTGCACCTGGGGTCGGGCTCCAAAAAGCCCAGGCACCGCTGGGGGAGTCCCCAGGCTTCTCGGAAGAATAACTTCCTGTGGGTACACCCCTCGCAGTCACTACAGGGCTCACAGTAGGTCTTGCTGGGTGTAAGTGGCATGTTGCTTGGCTAACGTTCTGCTCTTGTAGTGCCATCAGGGCCATTGGGGGTTTGTGGGGGAAGGAGTGACCTTAGGTAAGAGATATTTTTGTGTTCCTTGGGCCTAGGTCTACTTTTATGCCTTCTAGGACAGTGTTTCTCCCACCAGTACTGAAAGACCAATTCTTAAAATTTCCAGTCTATCTGGGCTGATACTTTTGTAAAATAAAAGAAGGATTACTAGAAAACCTGAAAAAGACATGGAGAATGCAAACTTGAATTTTTTATTATTGGATTCAACAGGTATAAAATCACTCTGTCACATTGCCGTAAAAGTTTCTAAATGTGTGTTCTCAATCTGTGTACTTAGTGTGTGTGTGCGTGTGTGTGTGTGTACTTAATTTTGACTGCAGGCTAGCAGACTGTTCATGGTCTGGTACACCTTGAGAGCAATGATCTAGGGAGAAACTTTGTTAAGCAAATTAGTAACAGGACGTTTTTGGAATAGATACATGATTCAAGAGTAAAAATTGTCTTTCAGTTGGCATTTAAAATACTTTAGATGTGTGTTCCTGTGTGATCCAATGACATCTGTGACAAATGACGTCTTTTCAGTAAAGTTCCATATTAGGGGGCAGGAATGTGAGAGAAATATACCAAGAACTGAGGCTAACATTGTTATTGTAAGGGATCCATAAGTTTAAAACTAGTAGCAATACTTGGAAAAATTGGTGCTTTAAACTTTCTCTGTTGTTCTGAGAATCATTGTATTTCTTTTGCTCGTTTAAGTTATATTTGTTCTCTCTATTAATGTTTGGTTTGCCTTTGAATTTATTTTTATATTTTGGTGCATAATTTTATGTATATTCTTTCACAGGGTAGTTTCTTTTTTTAATATAAATTTATTATTATTATTTTTGGCTGTGTTGGGTCTTTGTTGCTGTGCGTGGTCTTTCTCTAGTTGCGGTGAGCGGGGGCTACTCTTGGTTGCAGTGCGCGGGCTTCTCATAGCGGTGGCTTCTCTTGTTGTGGAGCACAGGCTCTAGGTGCATGGGCTTCAGTATTTGTGGCACACAGGCTCAGTAGTTGTGGCTCACGGGCTCTAGAGCGCAGGCTCAGTAGTTGTGGCGCCACATGTGGGATCTTCCTGGACCAGGGTTCGAACCCGTGTCCCCTGCATTGGCAGGTGGATTCTTAACCACTGCACCACCAGGGAAGTCCACGGGGTAGTTGCTTAAGCAAACTAAAAAGAAAAAGTCTCGAGTTAACATACGCCGATATAGAGATCATATAATGATGTAGTTGTTCATATTTCAAATTTGATTTTTGACTCTATCTTGTATTTTGAGCATTTTTACTTTTGCTGCTGTTTCCTTGCACTGAGATCGTTTGCTGTGTTGTTCCCTTAGCCTAGACTTCTCTTTCCCTGCCCTTAGGGCCCAGCCCAGGAGCTGCTTCCCTCCAGGCAGACTGTCAGCAGTGAAGGGGCTCCTGTCTCTGGCATCTGACTTCTGCTGAGCACCCACTTCCTTGCCCACTGTCCCTTTTCTCCTTGCTCCAAAGTCAGGACTTCCTTTTGTTTTGCATCATACTATATATTACACTTTTCAAGGCTCTTTCGTGTATATGTTCTCTTATTTCATCCTCCAGACAGTACCATGAGGTTGGTAGAACGGATTCTCATCCCCATTTTAACTGAGGTGAGGCAGGGAGAGTGTCCACATGGCATGAATCTTCATTCCTTTGCCAGGGCTCCCAGGGTCACTTGTGCCACTCAGGTCCAGACTGCCAAATGCTCAGATTTTGAGCCTGTCATTTTGAGGTCCTCTTTTTTTTTTTTGGTGGTACACGGGCCTCTCACTGTTGTGGCCTCTCCCGTTGCGGAGCACAGGCTCCGGACGCGCAGCCTCAGCGGCCATGGCTCACGGGCCCAGCCGCTCCACGGCATGTGGTACCTTCCCTGACCGGGGCACGAACCCGTGTCGCCTGCATCGGCAGGTGGACTCTCAACCGCTGCGCCACCAGGGAAGCCCTTGAGGTCCTCTTTTTTTACACAGTATTTGTTATCTGAAAAATCTAGAATTCTCAGTGCAGTGTCACAGGTCTCTTTGGAAGAAAAAAATCTTCAGAACCTAACCCTGGGGATGGTCCGTAGAGAACCAGAGCTGTGAACCCAGGAACTGCACGCAGGGCCAAAGTGGGTGTTTTAAAGGATGTGTTCAGTTGTCTCCACCTGTGATTTTCAAATGACAGTGGGAGGGGTTGGGTTTCCTTTATTTCAACAATAACAGCCCAGCATTTTGGATTGCACAGAAGGTTTCTCATGAAGAGAAGATCCTGCTTTAAAAGGGGTGAGGCACTTTGAAAAATCACATTTAGCCCAAGTCAGGAGTCAGAATTTGGAGTGTGTGTGGTGTGTTTCCTCCCCATCCCCTTTATGGTAAAACCGACCTGTGTTCCAAATCCAGCCCTTCCACTTACTAGGTAGGTATGGTGACCTCGGCTGAGTTATTTAACTTCCCTAAACTTGTTTTCTCATCTGTAAAATGGGGAAAATACTATCTATTTTGAAGGATCATTGTAAGGATTAAAGATGATGCATGTACCAGACTTGGGGTACGGGCTCGACGAGTGAGAGTTACTTGGAAGCTGATGCAGAAGAGAGAATGTGACCCAGTACAGGAGTCACTGCCTGTGTACAGCTGGCCATAGTAGTGGTTCTCAGCCTGGGTAGGTGTCAGAATCACCTGGAAGACTGTTTTAACTACAGTTTGCTGGGCCCACCCTGCCTGCCCCCTGTAGTTTGATTCATTTGGTGTGGTGTGGGCCTTGAGAATTTGCATCTCTTGAGTTTCCAGGTGATGCTGCTGCTGCTACCGCTGGTCTGGGGACCACGCTTTGAGAATGACTGGGCTGCAGGTGAACTCACCGATGAGCATTTAGGTGCTGTAGCTGTATTTGAAAGCCGAGCTTTTATGTGGTTAAAGTTAACTTTGTTAGAAAGCGCTCGGAATGCATTTCACAAATACTGAATTTGGTATCTCAAGGATTTTTCCTCCTGAAGTCCAGGAGTCTTTGTTAAATATACTTGAAGAAGAATAAGTTACGAGAGTAACAGTTATAAACATATTATGGGTAGTCAAACAATATCAGGTTGGCTGAGGTATGTGAAAGTGCTTTTATAAAATGCTAAAAACCGCAAAAATATTTTAATACTTTTTATTTTTAAGATTGAACATCATAATGGAGTATAAAATGGTGTAACTTAGATTTCTCATCTCAATGTGCTGTTTACCGTGTGTATTTTTCTCTTTCTCCTCCAGGCTGCTGACTTGAGTAAACCAATAGATAAAAGGATATACAAAGGAACACAGCCTACTTGTCATGACTTCAACCACCTAACAGCCACAGCAGAAAGTGTCTCTCTCCTAGTGGGCTTTTCCGCAGGCCAAGTCCAGCTTATAGACCCAATCAAAAAAGAAACTAGCAAACTATTTAATGAGGAAGTAAGTAGCACCCTGTCTTAGCTGTTAAGAATCCCTTTAAGAATGTATACGTTCTTACCAAGGGTAGTGGGCCTTGTTTTACACTGTGAGCGAAGCCCGTTTTCCATTCTCAGATGTCCTACCTAGTATTACCCAAGTTTAAATGTGGTGCGTTACCTTGTTGACTTTTACCTGTTCTTCTTTGGGCTAACTGTTCTGTGCATTTTTTATGGAGATGCTCAGGTGTCTATAGCAGGTGCTTTAAAAATTTTTTTATAATGGAGATAGGGATGAGACTTGTAGCTTGATATTTATAATTTAAATAAGAAAATAAAGAATTTATTCACATCACCAGAAAATTTCATGCAGATCAAAGAACTTGATAATATTTCCTTAGGTTGCTTAAGTTGTAGCTAAAATTTGGTGTGTATGTTTGACAGGTGTTTGACTGAGAATTTGTTCTCTTGCTCTTGTAAATGTTTGCTATTAAATCACCTTTGACATGGTTAGAAATCCTGGCACTTAAAATTGGATCCTATGACATAGCTTTTGCCAGTGTTGTAGCATGTGCTGGGGTTTCTAGTGTCTTCAGTTTCATTCTGGCAGGAGCCTGAGATATCTGAGCTGTCCATTCAGGAACATGTCAGCCATTAAACATAGTAGGTGTAAGTTGCCAAACAGATTATATTTTTATAAGCGATTGAAGTGGCTTTTCAGCCCCAAGTATTGCCATTACATATTTGACGTACTTCCTCCTCTGTGTCTGTATGACTTTCCTAGTAAATGGAAAAGATGAGGCAGTCTTGCTGAGTTAGCAGCCTTGGGTTGCAGTCTACTTGTGGCCTCAACCCTGGTGTGACAGGGGCCGGGTCACGTGGATTCCTCTCAGGAAGGGCGAGTGGTTTTGATTGTTGCATGGTTTTAAAGTCATTAACTTGGAACAGAAGTGCATTATAAATTCTGATTTTTAAGAAATAATTTTGCTTGGGGAAGAATACTCCACAAATTGCAGTTAAAATTCTGACTCTTTTTGCAGTCCCCGTGGTATATGCTGTCCATGCATATCCAGTCTCCAGCCACGGTGCTCCTGGTTGGCATTGCCAGTGGATTTGGTGAAATCCTTTGAACCATGCCATCTCTTCTTCTAGTTTCATCTGGGTTGACTGGAAACAAAACTTGCCGTCTGGATTGACAGAAGTATTTAAACCCATTTTCTGTTAAAAAAAAAATCTTAAGCAGAAAATTATTCTATTTACCTGAACATTTTATTAACATCATTTGACGGAGTGACTTCTAAGTAGCTGGATGATCTTTTTGGGGGGTAGTGGTGGGGAGAGTGAGGGCACAAAACTAGACTGCTCTGCATTCTTAATAGAAATTGTGAATTTGGCGTCACTGTGGGGTTTTATTTGTGTTTAGGTAGGGGACCTGTTTTTGAGGGGGAAGGGATTGGAACCATGTAAAGGGCTGTTGGTAAACAAGGTCGGGAGGCCGATCGGCTGAGGATGGCACAGAATGCCACTTAGAGAACAAGAAGGGTTTGTGTGTCATCGCTGGGGGAGGGTGCAGCAGAGACCACAGGGCCCTGAGAGCACTCGGACGCATCAGCTAGACCCATTCCTTACTCAGGACAGCTGGGAGTCACGGGCTGGAGAGCAGCTCCTCACTCTTAATGAGTGAAGCATGAGTTACCTCCTACTCTTTTTACATTTTATTTGAAAAATGGCTGTTCAAAGTTCTAGGATTGTGTATGGCTTAATACCAACTTGGCATTTACAACTTGAGGCAGACATTGACTGCCCTTCGCAGTAAGGACATTCTTTGGCTTGTATGGGTAACATTCTCATCAGATTTTGCTCAGGATGTCTAAGAGAAAGGGTCATCAGGGGTTTGTTTCTCAGAGAGTGCCAGGGATGGTGGTCGAAGCTGTCGTAGGCTGTGCTTTGCATTGGTATGGGACGTGGAGGTTTCAAAGTGTTTTGTCTCTTTCCTCGGCTTGGGAGGGTGGGTTGCTGTCTCCATTGTGCGCAGATGAGGAAATAGTCAAAGAGAAGGTAAGTGAATTGTCCACATCAGGTAACAATTTGATGATAGAGCTGGATCCAGAAATTAATTCCATGAGCTCTTATTGGTCATAGATTGTAAGCCCCACCGTGTGTGGTTGCCAGATGGGCTCTTGCCTCCCCAGGAGCTCACAGTTTAGTGAGATGGACCAAAAGGATACTGGAACGTGTGTTATCCCAGTGTTATGAACAAAGTACCAAGGAATAATGTATTAATTGCATTCCTCAGTATGTATCAAATATCATAAAATAAAAACAAAAGTTAAGTTCAGTGGGGACAGTTCGAGAAAGCTTCCAGAAGGTGACATTTGACCTGGGTTTGAAAGATGCATAGGAGTTGGAGGAGGATGAGAAAGGCCTTCAAAGCTGGAGAAAACAGCTTAGCATGTGGAGGCCAAGGGTGGCCACACCACAGCATGTGGGTTTGGAGTGGCAGAAGTTAAAGCCAGACAGATGAGCTGGAACCAGATTGGAAAAGCCCTTTGATCACATGCTGGGAGATTAGGATCTGACACTGGATGCTGTGGGGGACCTTTGGGCTTTTATTTAATCAAGGGAGTGACAGGATCAAATGTATTTTTTAGAACTCTTGTCAGCACTTGTGGAAGGTGGATTGGAATGAAGAAAGAGAGAATGAAGGTAGCAAGACCAGTGAGGAGGCTCTAGTAACTGTCCAGGTGAGAGCTGAGGACTTGAACTAGGGTTGTGGCCATTTCCTCATCCATTTGACGGACCTTGATAGCCTACCACGTGCCCGGCACTGGGTCTGCAGCGGCAGATAACAGCGGCCCTGTGTTTCCCCTCCAGAGAGAGGGGAGAGAAGTGTGAACAGCACCACACACACACATACACACAATTACGGCAGATGGTGGTGACTTGTTGTGATGTCAGAGGAGATAGAGGGCCTGAAGGAGAGACAGACGTGGAGGCCTGCTTTACGGGGACGTGGGGAGCGTCCGTCTCTTGGAGGAAGTGAAGTGCTTTGAGCTGAGCCTCGCCTGAGGAGGCCCCCAGGTAAGGAGCTGGAGGTAGAGCGCCCCTGCAGAGGGAGAGCCGGTGAAGGCCCCTGGAGGGAAGAGCTTGGGGCCAAGAGACCTGAGAGAGGACGGTGGACCTGGGAGGGCGTTGTGAAGTGAGAGGGCATGAGTCTGGAGGCCCTGCCACTCAGGACCTGACCCGGGTTTGCTTCTTCGAGCTGTGGGAGCTCACAGACGGGAGCAAGAGGTGGTCAGATCGATGTTTTTGAAAATAACCCTGGCTGCTTCTTGGAGACGGAACTGGAGAGACGAGGGAACAGATCTTGAGATTGTGGCCCACTTACTGCACTGGGGAAGGCGGGGAAGGAGCAGGTGCTGGGAACAGAGTCCGTTCTGTGCTTGTTAAGCTCGAGAGGCCAGTAGGTGGTTGCATACCTGGATAGGAGCACAAAACTGGAGGTGAATGTTGGGGGCTGTCAGCATATAAATAGTAATGATGTCCCTGAGATTAGACGGCAGGCCTGTGGAGAAGGCACAGTAGAGCAAAGACGAGTCTTTGCTAAGTCCTAGACGTGTCTGGGGCTGAGGCCTGTTTATACTCCAAGATTCTGGTCATCTGCTCATGGCCCGCAGAGGAGCACTTACAACCGTCAGTGTATTACCATGAAATTTACAGACTCACAGCCCAGTGGCTAAGAACACAGACCCTTGAACCCGAATGCCTAGAGCTCAGACACCCTTCTGCCACTTACTGCCTGCAGGATGTGGGTCTTTACTTCATCTCTTCTCCTCAGCCAGAAAGTGGATAAGAGCGGTCCCCGCCTGGAGGTGTGGTGAGGATGAGATGTTAGCAGAGGGCCTGGAGAGCAAGCCCTGGGGAGAGAAGTTCCAGGTGGAGGGGAAACTCAGAGGGTTTCTTTCACTAGAGGTTGGAGGAAAGGCTTCTTGGGAGGTGAGATACCAGCAGTTTTGAAGGAGAAGCACAAATGATTTTCCAGGACAAGAAGGTAAGAGCAGGGCAACCCAGACAGAGAAGCAACATGAGTAAGGCAGACGATGGGGACTGTTTATCATGACTGTTTGGCGTCTGTCTGTCTTACTCACCAGAGAGCTCCTCAGCCTCCCATTACACACATGCACGTGTGCGTGCACACACTCCACTATTGATTACTCTGACCTTTGCTCCTTTCTGGAGGTGTCTGGTGCATGAAAGTATAGTAAATGTTTGGATGGATGGATAGGTGGGTAGGTGAATGGAAAAGAAATTATAAGTTCCAGAAATCCACACTAGACCAAAGATAGGTGAAAATTTCTATCTGGGAATAGAGTGTATCTTAAAAGGTGATTTTTCCCCCCATTGATTAAAAAACTTAAAATACTTGTTTATAGAAAAAATTGGGACATAGAGAAGTACAAAGAAGATGGGAAAACATCACCTAGAAATCCCATTGCTCACTGTTAACTTTATTGTCTTTGTAATTTTTTATGTTTTTAATGAGGCAGAACTGTCAGATTCACACCTTCCATTAGAGCTGCTGGCAACCTTCACCTCCTGGTCTGGCCCTCAGTCCATCCAGTTCATGTCAGATAGCAGAGGCAAGCCCTGCTCCCCGGGCCGTCCCAGTCATACTGAGACCCTGGCTGCTGCACCAGTTCAGCCCCGGAGGAAGGCTGGTCCTTGCTAGCGTCCCTTGGGGAATGATAGCCTAGATCCCCTGAGACACTGCTTTCTCTCAAGCCTTAGAGTAGACTTGAGGTCTCTGTGTGTAGTGTTCTGTATGTTTTATGCCCTTGATGGTATCTAACGGCACATCTGATGAGCTCCCAGACCGTGGAGCCTACCTTCATGGTAAGGGTCACCAGGGAGGGAGAGGTACCCTGGTCAGCGCCCGGAAGGGGTGAGGGGTCCACTTTTCATCACTAACGGTTACGATGTACTGGGGAGAAAGTCATAAAGGGGCAGTTTCTGTGTGGGAATGAACTCAGCCTTGTTTGCCTTTGTAAAAATTCTGATTATATCTGGGTTGTATCCAGAGAACAGTAACTTCAAAGGATTTTTAAGTATGTTTGGTTACTGGGTGGATGTAAACTCTAAGAAGAGCTTGTCATTTCGGCTTCTTCATCCCTGGCGTGTAATGAGCCCCATTCTTGACTTTCTCCTCTCTCGCAGGTCGTGAGGCCAGGGCAGCGCACTGGGTAGGCTGTAGGCGCCTCGTGGACGCCTGTCCCTGCTGCTGCCTGAGGCTGTGTCTGCTCTTTCATCCCAGGCTGCAGGCTCCCTCTGCACGCAGCGCCCCCGGGAGTGGGGAGGAGAGGAGACTCAGCTTCGCAATATTCTGTCTAGTCCTCTAACGAGAGAGTGGCTCTGGGCATCTTGTTAGTTTTGTTTTTGTTGTTGCTTTTTTTAATCAAAGGAAGGAAATGAGCACTTAATGATCTACTCCTTAAAGTTTTGACATTGATAAAAATGACATCTGATCCTCTTTCACAGGGCTTTGAAATACCTTTTCCTAATACTTCCTGAGGGAAGAAGCAGCTGTCTTTAAATGCCTTTACAGAATCAAAGCCCTTAGTCACCGTTTTTGCTTGTGGCTACATTACTTTGTGGCTACATTACGGCTTTTCCAGCAGCTGCTGTGGTTTTGGAATTGTTTGTTTTTAGTACTTCTGTTATAAATTAATATCTGCATTGTAAAATGCATACCCAGCAACCCCCCAAGAATTTTTTCCTGCTTATCATGTTGATAGCAGTGAAAAAAAGAAAATTAAAAAGTATGTGCTTTGGAAAGCTTCATTTTAGCAGTGGTGCTTTAATGTGGTTACGGATTTGTTTTTATTCTTGCTTCCTCTAAACTAGTTTAGTATAGTTAGGAAGTCTTGTTTGTGAATGCCATTAAGGACGGTAGTTTTGGTGTTTGTTGGACTTTGACTGGATTGATGTTAGAAATGAGGCAGTGTCTTCTGCATTCAGAAGGGGGAATGTGGGAGCCGTGGGTGATTACCAGGGAGAGAAGTGGGTGTGGGAGCCCGCTTCCTGGGTAGGTGGCTTGACGTACAGACCTGGCATAGTAATACCCAGATTTTGGTTTTGGTTTTTATGGAAGTGATTTTAAAAGTAGGCCTTTGAGCGTTGTGGAATTTCCCTCCTTAATGGAAAGCTCAGTGGTCCTGCCAGATGACCTGAGCGCCTGTCTTTCCCTGAGACCTGCCCCGCTCTCCTCTCCTTGCCCTTCCTGCCAGGGCGGCCTCACCTCAGCCTCGGAGCAAGGGGCTTTCTTCTCCTGGACCCCCGCCCAGCTCCCTCACTGCCTCCCCTCCTGGCCTGTAGCACAGAGCCGCCCCCAGAGACCCTGTGACGGGATGGAGGGAATCGTGATGCAGGGAGCAGAGCCCCTGGCCTGTCCGACATTCACTCAGTGTCAGTTCCTTCCTCTCCTCATGGGACTTCTGGCTGGTTTTCTCGGCTTTCCTTCTGCTTTCCTGACTTTTGTCCTGCTCCCTATAAGTAGTCTTTTCCCAAAGTTGCACACTCTCCTCCTCTTCCTTGTACACCTTCTGCCTTGGAGAGCTCAGGATGTCACAGATCTGGCTCTTATAAGTTCACAGCCCATTTCCTCATCTTCCACAGTCATTCTCATCAGCTGCCTGCTCGATGAGGACACTTGAACTTCTCCCCAGCATGGTCACCCCTCCTCTCTGTTCTGTCACCCCCCTTCCCAGTCACTCAGGCTCAAAACCTAGGAGTCTGTTCACACGCCTCCTTCACCCCCACCCCACCTCCTAATACATCCAGCCTAGCCCACTGTTAAACAGTCCATCCTGCCACACCACCGCTGGTCAAGTTTAAGACCTTTTTGTCCACGGACAATTGTCATAGCTTCCTAACCGGTCTCTCTTCACCCGCACCATTCTGTACCTGCTGACGGGAGACTTCACTTCATTCTGGTGCTTCCCTTTTCAGAAATCTTCAGTGCCCCTACTGTCTGCAGCAGTACAGCCAGCAGAAATATATTGTGAGCCACAAATTCAATTTAAAATGTCTAATAGCCACATTACATCAATTTAAAAATAGGTGAAGTTAAGATACTTTATCTTGGGACTTCCCTGGTGGCGCAGTGGTTAAGAATCCGCCTGCCAGTGCAGGGGACATGGGTTCAATCCCTCGTCCAGGAAGATCCCACATGCCGCAGAGTAAGTAAGCCCGAGTGCCACAACTACTGAGCCCTCATGCCACAACTCCTGAAGCCCATGCGCCGCAACTACTGAGCCTATGCGCTGTAACTGCTGAAGCCCGCGTGCCTAGAGCCTATGCTCCGCAGCAAGAGAAGCCACCACAATGAGAAGCCCGCGCACCGCAACAAAGAGTAGCCCCCGCTCGCCGCAACTAGACAGAGCCCACGCGCAGCAACGAGGACCCAACGCAGCCAAAAAAAAAAAGTATTACTTTATCTAATACATCCAAACATTATTTCAACATATAATCAATATAAAATTATGAATGAGATACTTTCCATAATTTTTCAAGTCTTCAGGATCTAGTGTGTAATTTACACTCACAGCATGTCTCACTTTGGACCAGTCACTTTCAAGTGCTTGGGGCTGTGGGATTGGTCAGCACAGGGATTCAAGGTCACAGCCCAGACCCCTTAGCCTGGTACTGCATGTCCTTGAGTCCCAGCTCGCGATTCCAGACCTAATTTCCTGCCCCTGCTCAGGTGCTCCAGCCAAAACGGTTACCGTGCACATCCGCAGACCCAACTGCACTGTGCTGAGCCTTGATCTGGCCGCCCGCCCCCAGCACAGGCCCGGCCCCACCTGTACTCGGGAGCTCCTCAGGGGACCTGGGCTTTTGCCAAGGGTGTTTTTTCAACATACTCAAACGCATCATCCAGATCACGGCCCCACTGACACTGGAGAAGTCAAGCCCGGCGGGGAAATCCTGTTAGTTAGCTCTGAGAACTGACCAAGATGCCTTACTTTTTTTATTAGACATTTTCTGGAACAAAAATATACCCTTATGGTGCAGAAAGTGGTTGCATTCTTTATATTTATTGAATAAGATGTTCTAGGTATTTGTTTTTTAATTTCTGTTCTCTGACTTTTTTGCTAAACCCAAACCAAGTGATAGCCCAGGGCAGTTTACTTCAGTGACTCCGAGCTAGCCCTGAAGTTGTGCCTCCCACTGCCCGGGGTCTGCAGGGGGGGCGCCCTGGTTTATTGACGTTTGTCAGTGGCACAGAAGGCGCCAGCCCCACTTTGGGGCTGACGGGCCTGTGCCGGGTGTCATCTTACCCGCTCCATCCCCCTTGCACCAGCGCCTTCCGTGTCTCTAGGATGAAGAGCCCTTGGTTTGCTCCCCCATCAGCGCCCCCACCATTGTCCCCTCTGTGAGGATGCTCTGACCTGCTTCCTCCCAGCCCGCTTCTTCTGCTGCCCCTTTACCTCTTTGCTCAGCGCGCCCTCATCCCAGAGATAGAGGCCTTTCTAGGCCTTCCTCCTTGAGACTGGAATCACTCTAATCCTCCTGCCCTTTGTCTTCTTTCCCTGGTTGGGTTTTGCTCACAGTACAGCACTCCTTACCGTCAGATCCTGTCAATTTCACTACCTTTTCATCCCACTTGAACATCAGTTCCACTCAGGAAGGGATGTCTGTCTGTTGGTGCTGTCAGTGCCTGGCGTGTAGTGTACATTCAGTAAAGGATGGAAGGAGGAATGAACGAAACATGAGTGAGTGGTGAGCGGGAGGGACCACAGGCGAGTTTGCGGACCTCTCTGATCCTGTTTCTTGGTGGGTAACACGGCAATAGCACCTACCTTCCTATGGGGAAATGAGCACTCATACTTACACTGCTGGTGGGAATATAAATTGTTACATCCTGTATGGGAGGTAATTTGGCGATATCTGTAAAAAATTATAAATGTATGTACCTCCTGAACCAGCTATTCCAGTGGGAATTTATCCTGCAAGTATATTTATACATGTGAAAATTGCCATATGTGCAGGTTATTCTTTGCTATACAAATGTCCTTCAGTGGGGGACTTCTCAAATAAACCACAGTATATCCATGTAATTGAGTACTCTGCAGCTGTAGAAAAGAATGAGGAAGCTGTCTTCGTACCAGTACAGAGAGACGCACGTGTGTGACTGCATGAGAAAACAGAGGCGCAGACAGTGAAAAAAAGGAGTGTGGATAAACTTGTATCTGTGTTTGTCTTGTCCACACAGGAAGACACTTGCAGAGATAAACAAGAAGCTAATGACAGTAATTCTGGGGGCAAGGGATCTGGGATGGAGGAAAGGGGTGTGAGTGAGGCTTTCTACTGGATACTTTTATTAATATATATGAATTATGACTGTATTACCTATTAAAAAAATAAAAGCTTACGTTGTGGGGTTATTTTGAGGATGAAACAGCATGTGTGCAGAGCCACTGGTCAGTGCTTGGCCACAGAGTAGATCCTCAGGTTGGAAGCTAGCACGGCTGCCCTGATATGCCTGCCACGTACCCCACGATGAAGCAGACGTTTTCCCTGCACTTGAGCACACAATCTGGTAGGGAAAACTGATGGTGTAGAACAACTGAGAAAGCCTTCCCACGTTAGAGTTGGTATGTGGTCCGTTAATGGTTTTGGTTTGCAGTTGCTTAAGCTGCTGTGCCTGCTTCCCAAGTGCTGAGGTGTGGCGTGTCTACGTGGGTGTCCCAGCAGGGCCACAGAGGTGGGCTCAGGTTTTTGTCCGTAAGTTACATCCACGTGTCTACTTACAGCAGGCTCAATGCACCTTTTTAACGTGGAGTAAAGTCTTTAAATGTGTCTCGCCACCCCAGTAACATGTATTTTAATAATGGTGCTATGATTATTTATCTCCATTCCTCACAGTTGCAGGGAAATACCGTTTTTACTTGACAGTATTCCAGTTTTGAGTTCTAATGGAATTATTTTTGTTTTGCCTTTTTAAGCCAAAAATAAAATTTTTCTCCTAACCATAGTGCTAGAAGTTTTTATGTCCATCCTTAAAATTTTCCACACATGATAGAGTAACGGTGGAGAGCTGTTGGGAAAATTGAGATTAGATTTGGTTGTGGTGAAATGTGAGGTGCAGGGGTTGAAAGCCACACACCGGGCCAGGGCACGGCCAGCAGCCTGGCTTCTCAGCCTGAGGTCGCTTCTGTAGCCGCCCAGTGAGGCCACCAATGGGGGTGAACCGGCACCACCCTTGGACACTAAGCCAGCAGACCAGTCCTGGTTAAGGGATCAGGAGTGCTGGGGCAGCCTGAGCCCGGTGGGTACAGCAAGGTCTGCTGGGTGGGGGTAGGCTCCCCCAAGACCAAAGCCCTGACCTGGCCTCGTAAGGTGCCTCTGACCTCTGTGGAAGAAATGGTGACGGTCTCGTGGAAACCCTGACAGAGCAGCACTGGGCTTCCAGGTTGTTGGCGTTAGCATAGGTCAGCGGCTGTATACAGGAAGGTCACCGGGCAGGAGAGGAAAGAGGCAGGGGGTGACAGTGCGGCTGTGACACTGCAGAGCGACAGCAGTGACCCCTGCTGCTCAGTAACCCTTGCTGGGCCTGCTAGCCCCGGGCCCTCATGCCAGGCAGGGTCAGGCCTCTCCACTCTTCCCTGGCTGGGACCATTGTTGGCCACCTCCCTTCCAGGGCCTAATTTTCTGCAGCAGTTTGCATGGTTCATTAGTCTTTTTGAAGAAACCAAGTGTTTTCATTTTCTGTGACTTTCTGTAAAGATGCAGCACACACAGCAGACACACAGTGCAAGGCCGACAAGGCAGGAGGCCCTGTGTCCCGGTGGGCTTCCCGTCCCTGTGGCCCGTGGCCCTCTGAGGCTCGAGTCGGGGAACCCCAAGCACGTGAGGGAAGTGGGAGCGTGTAGCTCACCGAAGCCCGCCGGGCTCCCGAGGCACCCGGTTGCCAGGCTGGCAGTGGAGAGCGTCTGGCAGCAGGACATGCTGAGAACTCAGGGGTCTTGGGAACTCCCAGATGGTTTCTGGTGCTGTGATTTGGGGACCAGGCAGCCTCATGGAAGCCGCTGTGCCAGTGAGCCCCACGAAAGGTCTGCAAGCAGGGAAGCGTACTCGGGGGGTGGTCGTCCCTTTTGAGGGGTTTCTCCTTTTGCCTTTTGTTCTTTTAAAGGCAAGACTCCCGACCTGTGCCTGTTAAAGAAACAGTTGGTCAGTGGATCAAAAATAAACGTGGAGTAGAGTGGCAGTGATTAGGCACATACTCCTGAGTGTTAATCATCTGTTTATTTTTTTAAACACCACCTTGTTCCAAAGAAGATGGAGGAATGGCTCCTAAAGATACACACATGACAGCGACTGTGAGTGAGGAAGTTGCGGTGCATCAGGGCCGAGGCAGAGCCCAGGGAGGTGTGCGTTGCTGTCCTGGGTGCTGCTGGCTGCACGTGGACTAACCACCCCCACCCCCGCCCCAGCAGCTGGAAGAGGCAGGGGTAGTCAGCACGGGGCACGCGGGGCTGATGCAGTGCAGAGAGCCCCTGGGGGCCCAGGGCTCCCGGCCGTGGGGACTGCGAGACTTTCCCGGGGACATCGTAGTGAGGACCCTGTGCAGGTGCAGGAGTCACAGGCCCAGCCGCTCCTGGCGTGAGACGTGCGAAGTGCCCGGGGCTGTCCCTCTCCCCGGTGTGTCCCGGCGCCTGGTATAGTATCTGTCGGGCACATACTAGGCTCTCAACAGTGTTTGCTGAATGACTGACTCGGTGAAACCCAGTGGCCTGACACCCAGGTGCAGTTCTAGACGGTAGTTCCACAAGGGGCCAAAATGCCTTCGCTGGCCTGACCGCGGGATAGGACGTGGAGTGCCTGGATGGACGCGTCCCTTCTCACCGAGAAGCAGACAAGTTTTCTTGCTGGAAAAGTAGACCTTTAAAACTTCTCCATTGTGATAACTTGTTCTCCTTTGTCTTCACAGAGACTAATAGACAAGTCACGAGTAACCTGTGTCAAATGGGTTCCTGGTTCGGAAAGCCTTTTCCTAGTGGCCCATTCAAGTGGGAACATGTACTTGTATAATGTGGAGCACGCTTGTGGCACCACAGCCCCCCACTACCAGCTTCTGAAGCAGGGAGAGAGCTTTGCCGTGCACACTTGCAAGAGCAAATCCACGAGGAACCCTCTCCTCAAGTGGACGGTGGGCGAGGGGGCCCTCAACGAGTTTGCTTTCTCCCCAGATGGCAAGTTCTTGGCGTGCGTGAGCCAGGACGGCTTCCTGCGGGTGTTCAACTTTGACTCAGTGGAGCTGCACGGCACCATGAAAAGCTACTTTGGAGGCTTGCTGTGCGTGTGCTGGAGCCCGGACGGCAAGTACGTCGTGACGGGCGGAGAGGACGACCTTGTGACCGTCTGGTCCTTTGGAGACTGCCGCGTGATCGCGCGGGGCCACGGGCACAAATCCTGGGTCAGCGTGGTGGCGTTTGACCCCTACACCACTAGTGTGGAAGAGAGCGACCCTATGGAGTTAAGTGGCAGCGACGAGGACTTCCAGGACCTTCTTCACTTTGGGAGAGACCGAGCAAACAGTACCCAGTCCCGGCTGTCCAAGCGGAACTCGACCGAGAGCCGCCCCGTCAGTGTCACGTATCGGTTCGGCTCCGTGGGCCAGGACACGCAGCTCTGCTTATGGGACCTCACGGAAGACATCCTTTTCCCCCACCAGCCCCTCTCCAGAGCAAGGACGCACACGAACGTCATGAACGCCACGAGTCCTCCTGCCGGAAGCACTGGCAACAGCGTCACGACCCCCGGCAACTCGGCGCCCCCTCCCCTGCCGCGGTCCAACAGCCTCCCGCATTCCGCCGTCTCCAGCACCGGCAGCAAGGGCAGCATCGCGGACGGGGCCATCGCTTCCGGGGTCAGCAAATTCGCGACGCTCTCACTACACGACCGGAAGGACAGGCACCATGAGAAAGATCACAAACGAAACCATAGCATGGGACACATCTCTAGCAAGAGCAGCGACAAACTGAACCTAGTTACTAAAACCAAAACGGACCCAGCTAAAACTTTGGGGACGCCCCTGTGTCCTCGGATGGAAGACGTTCCCTTGTTAGAGCCGCTCATCTGTAAAAAGATAGCACATGAAAGACTGACTGTATTAATTTTTCTTGAAGACTGTATAGTCACTGCTTGTCAGGAGGGATTTATTTGCACATGGGGAAGGCCTGGTAAAGTGGTAAGTTTTAATCCTTAATGCTGCACCAGATCTAGAACTTGAATAGGTAGTGATTTTTTTCTTGCGGGAGGGGCGGGGTGTACAATGAATGTGAATGACACTTCTTATTCTTAATGTAAATCTAAATGCATCAGAGCCATAATTTTGGATACTGCATGCCATGTAATTCTGAATCATTTGATAATTCACCTTAGAACGTTTAAAAACTATAATCAAACTAATGGCCAGCCAAGTCAGTCACCCTCCTGGGAGTATATAGAGTCCCAAGGTTAGCGCTCCTGTATTAGACTATTTCGATTTTAGGAAAATCATGACAGTGTGGGGAAACAATGACTTTAAAATGCTAAAATTAAAATTTCTGCTTTAACTGGAATATTTTTGCTTAACTACTCAATTAGAATATTGTACACCTGATCAGAGTGTGTATTCAATACGAACGGCCATTAATTGTCATTTATAGTCCAACTTTTTATCTTAATCATCAAATGTTTAGGAATCTATGAAATTTAACTTTAGGAACAAAGTGTTCAGCAGGGTTGATTGATATTATTTTTACATCGTTCTGGCAATCCACAGAAAGAGAAGAGCCTTAATTTTTAAAACCCATTTTAGTCATTTTATGACAATTAAAATTGTTTAATAAACATCTTTTTTCAAAGAAGCAGTTTGTAGCACTTTGATTGAGACTCTGTGCACTAAATAAAATACCCACGTTTCTCAGAGCCTGGACAGTTACCGCGAACTGCGGGCTGAGGGCGCCAGCAGTGTTGTCAGAAGTGCCTCTTGCCACACAAGCCAAGATCTTTTATGGTGGATGTGATTTGCTTACGTTTTTTCCAACAAGGGGAAGGAGCTTTTCTTTTCTTTTCCTTTTTTTTTATTTTTTATTTTTTGGTGTGGGTTTTTGTTTTTTGGTCAAAAAGGCACATGACCTTAGGCCCTAGGCAGACTCCTCAGCCTTGTTTGTGAAGACTGATAGGCCCCCAAGGTTCAGAGAACTTGAAATTTTTCCCTCGTTTGGGTTTTGTGTTCCCACCAGAGGGGAAGGGCAGGTGCAGGTTGCTCCTTCTCCTTGGAGGGCAGTCGTGGTCCCGGATCTTCCGGATCATTCTCGGGATGCCCTTGGCCTCTGTCTCAGGGACGCCATCCCCTACCCCAGCGCCTGCCCCTGGGGGCCTGTGGCTGCTGGGGGCAGGGCTGGCTCTCCCTCTGCCCAGACAGCTGCGACCCTAATTCCTTCAGATCCTTATCAGCTGTCAGACGAGTTGCTTTTCAAATTCTAGTTTTCACAGTGGATGAGAGGGCTCTTTGACCCATATGTTTCGTGTCAAGATGATAATGATCTCATTTGTTAGCTCACTTTGGTCACTTAGGTTTGTTTTTCTGTTGTGCACGCCTTTGTAATTAAATATAGAGATACTGATAATTTATACTGGTTTGAGTAGTGAACGCGATTCAGCAAAGTGCCGACCGGGAGGCTCCAGTGTGTCGGGTGCGAGGCTCTGGTTGATGGGGCAGCTCCGTGCTCTTAAAGCCGCCCTCCTGGGAAGGCCAGGCCGGCTCCCGGCTCCACACGCGTCCGGGCCGAGCCGTTCACTCTGTGTCCCCCGTGCTCATTAGTGTGGTGGTTTCTGCGACCTGTGACAGCGGGGGTGTGACCTGTGACAGTTCATGCATCGCGGTCCATGGGGATGTTAGTGTCCTGTCTGCCTTTAAGATATGGTCCTTTGTTCCTAAATGTTAACTGATCTGAGGTAGCAAAGACAGCCGTGCTTGTGGACTCTTGCAGCTTTGGAGGCTAGGAAATTGGGCTGTCAGGTGGAGAGCAGGAACCAGCACTCCATGTGCAATTTTGTGTACCTGCATAGCTTTAGAAATTCAGTTTCAAATGCTTCTGAGGCATTGAGTATGCAGTTTCAAAATTCAGGACTTTGTAATTGGCCCAAGTGGCTGAATCCCAGGTAAGTAGCCTTTACGGGGGAGTGTGTCGCGCACAACCTTCCAATTCCGAGCGCTGTGCTCCTTCAGTGCGGGCAGGAAAGCCACGGGTGGGGCCCCGTGTAGCTGATGCTTGTGCGACGGGGGCCCTTTCTGGTTCTTTCTGTCCTTCAGCGTCCGCTGGGGCAGCTTACCCAGGGCGCGGTCTGTGGGTGGGAGCGGGGGTGGGAGAGGCAAGAGGAGGGTGTTACTGGCCCCTTAAAAAACAAGCGCCGCAACGCGCTAGTAGAAGCCGGGCTCCATCTCCTCCACGCCATCCCCACATTAAACCTCCGTGGTCCCTGCACAGTTTGGGGTTTGGGGCTTGGTCACAGTCTCGGTCTTCCAGCTGCTGCTGGTGAGTGTATCCTTGATGTCTGGCTGGGGCCCTGGCTGAGTGTCAGGTGCCGGGGAGGGGCTGCTCGGACACGGCAGGGCGACGCTGCTTCCACCCACTCTGCCTCTCTGATGCCTCCGCCCTTCTGTGACAGCCAGCAGCACCGTTCTCCTGCAGTCAGGAGGGCAGAGCGCAAGGTCCTCTCCAAGACCAGGACTAAAGTCGCCGGCAGCTTGAGGAGAGGGGGCACGGGAGGGAGGGGGCGGGCGGGCCCCTCCCCTCCACCCTCGGGTTTGTTTCGGGGCGCCAGGGCTCCTGCAGACCGGGGTCAGGAGGGGGGGTTGCTTCGAGGGGTTCCAGGGTGCCAGTCGCAGGTATATAAGGCACCGTGGCCACTAAGGGAAATCTGGGGAGTGTTTTTTTGTAGTTTTCTCCCCACATTTTGAGCTTCCTCATTGAAACTTTTCAGTTTTTCAGCTTAAACGTTATCCTGAGCAAGAGTATCTTTTCTAACCTAACCTCTGGAATAAAACAGCTTGTGGCCACAAGAGGTTATTCCTACTCGCTCAGCACGATTTTTCCACCATGCACTGAGACGCATCGATGAAAAGCGGAGAAATAAAGTGCTCAGGGTAGCACGTGAGCCGAGCTGCTCCCCCCCCCAACAAGAGGTGGCTCTGCCCGCCTGCGGCGACAGGACCCCTCGGAGGGCATTAGCCAGGCTGTGGGGTCTTCTCTGCCTGCCCTGCCCTGGCTCGCCCCTTAAAGCTTCTGGCAATTCCAGAGCTGGGTTTGTGTTGTGACCTGGGCGATGCAGGCTTCTGAATCCACTGGCTGCCCCAGCCCCAGCCCTTCTCTGTTTCTCCTCCGCTGGGAGAGCTGGGGTGGGAAGCCTTTGGAAAACCTGGCCTCTTAGTTTATTTTTATTTTTATTTTTGGCCTTCTTTTAAAGGCAAATGTGGAAAAGGGAGTAGGCAGACTCTTTAAAAATAACCAGTAGCTTTGGGTTCTAAATTGATTTAAATAGTGGTAAAGAATCTTAATTTTGTTTTTTGTGCTGACTGGACCTTCTCACATTTTTGAAGGGTTCTCCTGTGAGCCGTTGACTTGGGACTAAGGATAAATGCCTTAATGGAAGAAAAAGAGAGGAGTGGAAATACAGGGATAAGCTTTGACAGTGATTATCGCCTCAGACATCCAGAAACGATGAGGGACAAAAGGCCCTGAAGCTTTCTCAGTTTTTACAGGCGTGTAACACGCGTGCCCCGAGTATTCTGTTCCACCGCTGGGCTCCACAGCCACGTGCAAGTGCAGGCTGGCAGGTGGCCCGGCAGCCGCTTCTCCCCGATTCCTCCACTTCCTGTGGTACATCCTGAATTTTTAAGAAATTGTCAAGTATTGAACTTGTGCTGAAGTTGGTGAAGCAGCTTTATCGATGTCCGCACCTGTGTACAAGGTTCTCGTTACCTCCTGCTTGGGAGGGAGAGCTTTGATTTCCTGGTTGAGGAAGCTCAAAGTGTGAGGGGAGAGCCAAAGGGCCGGGGAGCACCGCGGAAGGAATCCTTTGAAAACCCAAAGGCCACGTTCGTGGACCTGTCTGTCCGAGGAGGAACTAGAAGCAGAGGTCGACCGTGGTTTCCCGGGAAAAACACACGGCGCGCCGCGTCCCGTTCTCTGCGGGAGGGCTTGGCCCAGGGTGACTGGCCGCGGCCCCTGCGCGTAGGGGAACGAGGGGCAGCGGTTGGCCTCCTGTGCGGGTCATCCCGCTGTGCCGGGCGTGTCCACTCCTGGGGCTTCCTTCCTCCGCATTCACGTGTAGGCCTGATAAGTGACCCGGAGGAGATGTCCCCCTCGGGCACCACGGCAGGGAACAATGGGCAAAGGCTCCCTCCTTGTCCAGAGCACACCTGTCGCGCTGGGCTGCTTGGGACTGTCACCTGTTCAGGTAGTCAGGGGGCTCAGCCCCACCACCCCAGTGCTGGCCAGTGAGAGGGGCGGTCTGGGAGGGTGGAGTCCAGGGCTCCTCTTGCAAGGCACTTGTATCCCTTTGAAACTCAGAGCCAAGTTCAAAGCTGTGTGTAGAAGCGCCTCCGGGAGAGGGAAGCTCTTCCACGGGTACTTTCTATTCATTGCTGCAGCTGTTACGTGGACTTTGTGTCATGGTCACATCGCTGTTGCTCGACTTAAATATGTAAAAGAAAACTTCTCTGCATTTTTGATTTCTGTATACCTAAGTTTATTAAAGGTTACTGTGTTAGGTGACACTGTATAAAATTGTATGAATATTTACCCTTAATGAAAATCAAAACTCATATGTATTTCCTTTTTTACATTCTCATCTAATTTCTTGAAAACTTGAATAAATTTCATAAAGAGCCTTCCTAACATGAAATGTTGGTAAATTAAGTTCTTAACTGTTGCAATAATTAATGAAGCTTTAATACCAGTATTGTTACTTTATAATTTTAAGAAAATCGTGTTTCTGTTTCACCGCCTTGGTTTTTAGCTGTTCCCTTGTCACTGTCACAGCTAGAGACTTACTACATACTTGATATTCTGAAGAACTTTGGGGTTGTCCTCTGTATAATGACGTTAAATAAACGCGTGAATGAACCGTAAATGTAGATAAATTTTCAGTAGGCACTTTCACATCAGAGCTTCAAAAAAATCTCAGTGAACCGAAAAAGAAGAGCTTCTAAATGCTGTAAAATCAAGGGCCTTGTTGATGTTTATAGAACGAAGAGCCCCAGGAATTGCTACCTCTTACTACTGATGCTGCGTTTTTCCGAATTAGAAGCTTTCTGAGTGAGATGTTTGTTCTGAGCACGGGAGGTAGTCACTGTTTTCTGTGACCTTCCTCTGAGCCAAGTCCCATGTGGGGAAGGACCGTGGGTTGGCTTTGCGGCCGAGCTGGTGCCGGTTCTGTGTGGAGCGCGCGCTGAGTTCCCAGGCGGCGGGCAGGCGACGCTGTAGCAGCTCTTCTCCTGAGGAGGGTTTGTCATTTTCCGTTTGCCGGAGGCGTTGTCATCGCCGTGGAGGTGGTCCTGCCTCGCGCCCGGGCCCCGAGGCTCCGGTGCAGGACGAGCCCCGTGAGCAGGGCAGTGGGAGCCAGTCCTCCCGGGGCGGGAAGCAGAAGCGATGTGCACTGGCCTGCTCTGGACCGCCCCTCGCTCTCGGCAGCGCCGGCACCTCCGGCCCCGAAAGAACCTTCATGGCAAGAGTTCCAGGCCTCGGCCCACACGCTCAGCCTGGGGCTCGTGGGGGCAGCAGTGAGCTGCCCGGGTCAGAGGCCTCGTCAGGCCCTGGGGCTCCCACTCAGCCGCTGCGTCCCTGCCGTTTCGTGAGACGCCTGGGCCTGGAGCTCGGGGCTGGCAAAGCCCCTGGAAGCCCCTCCCGGCCGCCTGTCCTTCTTGGTGGACTCCAGAATCTTCCTGGCCGCGCTGTCCTGAGCCGCCCGTGCTGCAGGGTGTTGGGCTCTTGCCTTTGACTCGAAGCTGCCAGTGCAGAAGAGACGGTCCGATGCTCCGCCCTCAGAGGGACCTGCTTGGACTTTACTACCACAGGAGCTGCACGTTTGCTCCTTAGCGCGTGAGGGGATTTTAAGCCCTGAACGCTAGTAGGTTGACGGGAAGTCTGAAAAGACGCACACAGGCACAGCATTTTGATCTTTTAAAGATAACTAGTTTGTACACCTTGAAAACATAAGTCCATTCTCCCACGTGTGGCTGCCTTTTGAAACAGTCGATTCTGGACCAGCAGATCTCTTGAAAGGGACAGAACATCTAGGGGTGCTCAGCCCCACCCCCTCTGGTGTCGGTAACCTCTAAACCAGCCTTCACGTGGATGCCCCATGACGGGACTCAAGCTAGAAGACACTGGAGGTCCCGGCCTGCAGAGAGGATGTCAGAGCCTCAGCGGGTCACCCGGCAGGAGGGCCTGTAGGCCGTGGGCGAGGCTCTCTTCCCCAGCACGGTTCTCGCAGGAGCCCTTGACTGGTTGTGCCCTAAGAAAGCCTTTTCGCAGGTGTCTGAAAACACCACGATCGTTTTCCCTGGGCGACTTTTCCCAGGTTGAGTGGCCTCTTTGGGGAAATGTGTCACCGCCAGTGTGGCCAGTCACCGGGCAGGTCAGGGCCGGCCAAGGGGCAGCTGCCTAGTGGAGCCAAGGTCCCAGGCCGCCGTGAACAGTGGGTCTGGGGCAGGGAGGGGTCCAGATGCTCAGAGAATGGCTCAGAGGACACGCCGGTGGAGTGGGCCCCTCCCAGCCCGCACCCACTTCCTAAACTTGGCTCACTGAGTCCGGGCCTCACGCGCCTTGGGATGAAATGGGAGGTCCTCTGTCCAGCTCTTCTATGGTTCTTTTATGCAGCGGCCTGGGCAGTGTGAGTGGCGGGATTCTTGTGGATGAAATAAGGAGAATGTATCCATAGCTAGAAGCGGCCCTGAGGAAGTTAGCCGGGTGACGGTTCTCATCGTTTGTGTACCGTCTCTAAAAGGGCCTCACTTCGCAAATATTTACCTCTTAGTCTCCGAGTGAAGTGAGATAATTCGGGGGAGCTCCTGGCAGGTTGCCTTGAACCGGAGCCTCCAGGGTTAAGTGCTCTGTGGCAGGTGCAGGGCCACCCCTCCAGGTGAGGCTGACCTGGCCGAGGGCCGCAGCAGCGCTGAGCTCCTCCTGTAGCACTTCTCTGCCGGTCTCGAGAGGCTGCTAGTCTGCAGCAAGACCTGTCCCGGGGCCAGTGTGCACGTCACTTTCGTCTGGGGTGAAGAGGGTGATTCTGGGAGTCGACTGACCAGGCTTTGAACAGCGCCGGATGCCCATCCCACGACCACTCTCTCGAGGGTCTGCGGTCTCACACGTTTCCAGTTGAGTCCATGGTAGCCGGAGTCGGATGGGGAGGCCTCCCGTGGGCCCAGCGGGACTTCAGGACGAGGCCGTTCTCTGACGAGGGCCTCTGAGACCCTCACGGTCTTTTCTTGCTGTCAGGGTCTCTGATCTCGGCAGCACCCACGAACAAAGACATGTTCCTTTGTTGTAAATTGTTTTTTAGCCGAAATATTACTTTTTCTATATATACATTCTTATGAAACAAGGTTTAATTCTGTTAGCTTAGTATTATAAATTATAATCAAACCCAAACTAAGAGGTGGGGTATTTTATCAATTTTCACATGAAATCTCTAGCAGGAATAAAATGGCAACTCTGGTGAGAACAGAACAACCTATTAAATATTAGATCCAAGAGCTGCCACTATTTCTGTGATAGGCTTCCTTCCTGGAGGGGTAACGGGACATTAAGCAGGTTCTTGGCTGGAGAAATCTTTTGCTTGAGTGATATATGTAAAGCCCTCGTTTGCCAGCTGTCCGGCGTCAGGTGGAAAGACCAGCAGCTACCGTGCTGCCTGGACAGCTGGAAGCCAGCAGGGTCGCTGAGGCCAGGCGCTTGATCCTCCCTGAGGAAGTCATCAGGGAGGATGCAGTCAGAGGGCAGGCCGCCCTCACGGGCAGCCACAGCGGGGCAGACGGCGGCGGGTCCTCCTCGCTGAAAAACCTGCCCCAAACTGTGCCCTTAGGTTAACGTGTCCAGCCAGGCTTCCCCCTAAGAGTGTTCTGGAGTCTTCGATGGAGGCCTGCAAGTGTGTCTTCCATCTTTCTTATCATCACCCAGCAACTTCGAAACTAAAGCACAGGCTTCCAGAAATAAGGTTACTCTTCACATTTTCTTTTGAATAGTGGTGTTTCCCCCGATGCCTCCATGGTGTGTCTGTCCTGCAGAACAATTCCATCTCTGGGAAGAGGACAGGGGTCAGGCCTCGCCCCCCGACAGGCTCCTGGCCTGCGTGCCGGGCACCGAGCAGATCCTGAGGCCTTGCCCTGCTCACCCCGGGGAGCTTAGTCCCGGGCCGCCCTCTCCTTGCCTGTGGCTGACCCGCGAAGGTCAGAGTCCCCTTCCTTCAGACACCTTAGACCGGATGAGGTCATCTGTGATGTTCCAGGCTTCTTCCCTCCAGACTGTCCGCGATGGACAGGGATTTGGGCCTGGCGGCCTCACTGCAGCTCAGTTCAGACTCGGGGGGAGCGTTTCTCATCACTTGGCCAAAGGTTCCCTTCATCACCGAGGCGGTAAACCAGCCGTCCTCCGCTCTGTGGACTGGGCCGGGATGGGCACAGTGTCCAAAAGAGCTCCTCCCTCCCGTTGGGCCGGCCAGAGCTTTACCTCTTCTGTCAGGCTCCATCCACGCTGTCTTGAGGGGTTTGAGTGAGAAGCTGCCCGTCGCCGTGGAGATCAGACAGGGCTGTGTGCCTTTCCGGCAGTAACTCCAAGGTCAAGGAAAAGTACTCCTGTAGATTCTGAGCGGGGGCGAGTTGCTAAGTTCCGTTCGCCCCTGCTTCCTGATCTTGCCTAGATGAACGGATTTCGGGTTTAAGGTGAGAAACGAGATAAAGTGACTTGGAGCGGGACCGCGTGCTTCCCGGCTTCCCTCCAACAAGGCGTGGGCGGAGCTGAGGGTCAGTTTCAGATCGTCACCCTTCATCTGTGCCAGCCCGAGGCCAGGTGTGAAAACGCAGCCATGTTTGCTTAAAGGCGTGTCCTGTGTGCAGCATTTTGGGGGACAGCTTAAGGATGCTTGTGTTCACAGAACTGAAAATTTGTAGCTTCAGTGTTGCAATACTGTAACCTTAAAATTATTCTTAATAAATGAATGCCAGACTGTGCTGGAACTACGTGCATCCCAGCAAATGCAGGGAGATGTAAGTGCTCTTTGCTGTACAAGAGGTAAAAACCCTTTCAGGGTTACCTAAGCTCACGCCTGTATTGCAAGAGATCCGTGACAGCCTCCTGCCTCTCCGTAGGAGCCAGCCCAGAGGGACAGACACCACCCCTTGCTGGTGCAGAGAGTCCCCAGATCCACTGCAGCCGAGCGGCAGCCTTTGTCCTGAGCCGCCCCACCCACGTGACTGGATCCTGCTTTCTCTACCTGCTGGGCCCGGTGGGCTGGCGCTAATGCCAGAGGGGCACCACCATCACACCACCCATCAGAGAGAGCAAAGAAAACGCCTCTTCAAAAATGTCACTAGACTCTGTCCTTGGCGGCCACCCCGGCCCTTGGGGGACTGGGCGTGCAGCTGTCTGGCCTCACTGGGTGAGCTGGCCTCGGAGCCGGGGGGACCCCTCTGTGGCCCGGAGCTGCAGCCCTTGGGGAGGGCAGTGAACAGCCCCCCTGGGAGGTGCCCCTGGCCTTTGGGCAGTGATGCTGCAAGGAACCCTGGCCCTGAGAGACCACTCTGTCCCCCAGGCCAGCCCCGCCCAAAGCGTGCCACCCGAGGTGTGGGGGCGGGGCAGGCTCAGGATTCCGATGAGTTAGGAATTAAGTAGATGGACAC